AAGGCAGGGAGGCTAGGTATAACCTGGGTGATAGATGACGGCTTGGACCAGAGCGGGCAGTGGTGGGAGGTGGTCGGATTCTCGACACGTTTGGCAGGAGAGCTGATGGGACTTGGGGACGGACCCACTGTGAAGTGTGGGGAGGAAAACAGGAGTCAAAGAGGGGCTCCTGCATCTTTCTCTTGAGCAGGTGGAAAGATGGAGTTGCCATGTTCATTTTGGGGGTCTATAATTTGGAGATGTCTATGCAAAGGGAGCCCATCCAGTAGACTCTGATGTGATGTGATGTGCATGGCGCAGCCCTGGGGTATGCAGCAGTTTTCTCCTCTTTCTATTTTTCAGTGAAATAAGAAGCAAGGTTATCAGCTGAGAGTGAGGAAGGGGAGGGGGTAGTTGGGAAACAGTGCAGGGTTTCTGGAAGGCACCGAGGGCTGCCTGAGGTTGTTGGATGTGAATTTTTTTTTTTTTTTTCCTTGCGTTATGCGGGCCTCTCACTGTTGTGGCCTCTCCCATTTGCGGAGCACAGGCTCCGGACGCGCAGGCCCAGCGGCCATGGCTCACGGGCCCAGCCGCTCCGCGGCATGCGGGATCCTCCCGAAACGGGGCACGACCCCGCGTCTCCTGCATCGGCAGGCGGACTCTCAAGCACTGCGCCACCAGGGAAGCCCTGGATGTGAATTTTAAATGCATCCGGTCAGCACGGTTGGGTGTTTTTCTCCAGCTGCATTCATTCAGCAACTCAGGTGAAGATGGCAAATAGGCTGCGGATTAGGGCTTGGAGGGTAGTAATCTGGGTGCAATTTTGAATTCTTCCTGAGCTCTGTCATAGGGACTGGTAATTATAACAGGCATACATAATACGCCAGCTTGTTATTATTAGCCAGGCGCTTTATCCATAGAGTCTTATTTCATCTCTAACATCGTCTTAGGATGTAGGTGTTGTCATTCTCTTCGCTTTAACGGAGGATGAAGTAACGGCTATGACACCATTTGTCCGAGATCACACGGGAAAGGAAATGACAGGATGGGAAGTGAACCCGGGATCTGGGTTCTGGAGCACACACACACGCTTGCCTTCTCTAGCAATCTAGCTCCCACTGGCTCTGCCCCATTGGCCTCGCCTTAACGTGGGGTCTCAGTCCTAGACAGGAGCTGGGAACGGAGGTGAGGCCAAGAGGGAGCTAAAATTGGGTGAAGGCAGAGGGACGTTATGAAAAGCGCTGTTTGACTTTGTTTAGATGGACAGGGATGGTTCAGTCTCCCTTTTCCTGCAGCCTAGGCCCCTCTCCTCGACCCCAGAGTTCTGTTGGATGCTGAGCTCAGAGGCTCAGCTGTGTGCTTAGCCCTGGGCAGAGGAGTGAGGTCAGGTTCGTTCCTTGTTCCATTAGCTGTTCTGGGTATTTGAAAAGCTCTCTGAGTTATTTGGACAGTGTAAGGATTTCTAAGTCTGCAAATTAATTTCCTCCACCTTTACTCTCTTGTTCCCAAACAGTTCTGGGCCTTGTCAGGCTATCTGCTTCAGTGCTATAGCGACAAGAGAATCCATCTGCAGCTGGGCTTTTGGCTTTGTTAGGTAATGGGATGTAAGGGCGAGGCTTGTGTCTTGAGCTTGGGAACTCTGCTATAAATTAAGTCATTGTCCTTCCCTTCCTCCACCTTTTGCGCATGTTGGAAGGGGCTCAGATCTGATCTGGAAGGCGGTTTTATCGTTTGTAGGGCCATTTCTGCTTGTTGAAGATCTCTAGTTATCATTAAGAATCCTTGAGCAAAGCAGAAGAGAGTCCTGGGACAAAGAGAGAGCTGATTCCAGGTCTTGACAAACTTTTTCTATAAAGGCCCAGATGGTAAATAATTACACTTTGTGGGCCATATAGCAACCACCCAACTCTACCCTTGCTATGCAAAAGCAGCTATAATACGTAAACAAATGAGTGGGAGTTGTGTTCCAATAAAACTTCATTTACAAAGATAGGTGGCAGACAGGATGGGCCTCTGAGTCATGGTTTGCCTAACCCTGGTCTTGACTATAATTCCCCCTCTCCCAAATCAGCACAGACTATTTCCTTGGAAGACACTGATGGTGGAGGTAACGGCATAAATTGGGGGTCGAACTTTTCTTCTGATGGTTGGAGGACCCTGACCTCAAGAATCTGTCTCTTTTCTAGAAAGCAAGCCTGGTTCTTGCCTCTTGATTTTATCATTGACTTGCTTCCAAGTTCTGTGTGATAGAGGGAGAAGAGGAAGAGGAGTGGGGCTTCTGAAGGGGAAGGATGTCAAGATGGAATTAGTGCAGTGGGCGACGGGAGCCAAATTTATTATCCTCGTACTCCGGATCTCCTACTTTGTGGAGGAAAAAGACAGGCAAAATCGATCCTATTTTCAGTCTTATCTCCCCCTACTGCTTCCTCTTATCTGTTATGGAGCACTTTTTTTTTTTTTTTCTCATTATTTTCCTGAGACTTTTTATTTATTTGATGCACCATCTTTTTTTTTTTTTTTTTTTTTTTTAAGTTTAGCTGATTTAAAATGTTTGTTTGTTATTTTAATTTCAGGTGTACAGCAAAGTGATTCTCTTAATTATACACACACACACACATAGATATAATTGTTTTTTCAGATTCTTTTCCCATATAGGTTATTACATGATATTGAGTAGAGTTCCCTGTGCTATATATACAGTAGGTCCGTGCTGGTTATCTATCTTATATATAGTACTGTGTGTATATGTCAATCCCAAACTCTCAATCCATCCCTCCCCCACTCCCTCTCCCCCTTAGCAACCACAGGTCTGTTCTCTGGAGTCTGTCTGTCTCTGTTTTGTAGATAAGTTCATTTGTGTCATATTTTAGATTCCCCATATAAGCGATATCATACGATATTTGTCTTTCTCTTTCTAACTTACTTTACTTAGTATGATAATCTCTAGGTCCATCCATGTTGCTGCAAATGGCATTATTTCATTCTTTTTTTAGGCTTACTGATATTCCATTATATATATGTATCACATCTTCTTTATCCATTCATCATCGACAGATGATGGACATTTAGGTCACTTCCATGCCTTGGCTATTGTAAACAGTGCTGCAGCGAACATTGGGGTGCATGTATCTTTTCATATTACGGTTTTCTCTGGATATATTCCCGAGAGTGAGATTGACAGATCATATGGTAACTCTATTTTTAGTTCTTTAAGGAACCTTCAGACTGTTCTCCATAGTGGCTGTACCTGTTTACATTCCTACCAACAGTGTGGAGCAGTTCTGGGAAGTTCCTGACTACCTCCAACTGAGGGCCTCTACAGGAAAAGATGATCTATTACACTATGAAGGTATGTTGCGTATATATTCTGTTGTAAAACAAAGAAAACTCTTAGGCAGAGAAGATGGGCTTTTTTTCCATCAGAAGAGAGAAAAAGGTAAGATACTGACATGAGAAACAAACATCTAGACAGCAGAGTAAAGGAAAACTTAAGACTCGTGGTCCTATTTGATGCTTCTCTCTTCATGTGGCAAAAAGTGTTTCTATGCTATGTTCCTATGAGCTCGGGGATGGCCTTCTTGACACAGAGGGGTTCTCAAATCATGTACTTCTGGGAGCCTGCTACTGTATGGTTGATAGACCACTGTGAGGCCTGTAGCACGATTAAATTCTGTTGGTTTGTTCTTCTATTTCAGGGGTTGACAAACTTATCCTGTAAAGGATCACACAGTAAACATTTTAGGCTTTGTGAGCCATATGGTTTCTGTCACGACGACCCAACTCTGCCGTTGTGGCATGAAAACAGCCATAGGGAAATGATCAGGTGTGGCTGTATTTCAATAAAATTTCTTTTACAAAAACAGATGGGGGGCTGGATTTGGCTCCACAGGTCACAGTCTGTCTGTCAGCCCCTGGTCTACGGGAAAACGTGAACATAGCTCATCATACTTAAGTCTACAGTTTCTTATTCCCAGAAACGTGCTTGAGATGAGTTGATGGACGTATGAAGATACAAAAGAGTATCACCTGTCTCCCTGCCCAGGGAAAAGGCAGTAATAATTGATGGAATTCCTTCCCACTGGACCAGTCCTTACAATTTTCTTCAAGACACTCACTCACTCAGTTTGCCTACCATCTTTGATATACTATATTACCATCTGATACGGTATATAAACAACTAAATTGCTTTGAAATATGTCATCTAAAATAAGTTAAATACTTTTTGTAGTATTTAATTTCAATAATGGGCTATGAGAGCTCTTCCTCAGTGTTCTACAAAGAAGATGGCTACGTCTACTACTAGGTAAACACGATTTGAGAAGCATGATCTTAAAATGCTGGTGACTTCATGTCACAGCTAGCTAGCTTTGTTCTAAAAGTCTTTC